AAGTAGAAACATTTAACATCCACTTTCAGAGAACGTCTCTTCCAATTTAAAACAATTATCTGTATGAGAAAGGTTTCACTCATCCCATAAGATGAAATGCTGCTTCACATCACATACATATGGAATGTACAGTTTAAGAAAAAAATTTCCTGAGGTGGTACTGTTTTCTGAAAGAATATCAACTGCAACTGCGAGCAGGTGCTTTAGCAAACCAAGGTTTCCCTGTGTAGGTGGCCTCACAGCTGCTTTATGAGTAGCAGCCATGCCTAACAAGCTGTGTCCAAGCTCGCATGCTTTGTGCACCTGAGTCATTTAATTACACGAGCATTCCTTCCTTGACTGCTCTCGTGAATACAGGCGACGCACAGTGAACGTTTTCTTTACCAGAAAACAAGGCACCAAGGATGCCGAGCACCTAAGGAGCGGGGCCTCCCGTGGCGGCGCTCGGCCGCGGTGGGGCGCTTGGCGCTGGCACGGCGGCCGCGCGCAGGAGGCCGGCTGCAGGCTCGGTTGCCGCGGCGGGACCGAGCTGCCGAGGGCTGTGCGTCACCGCGAGTGTGACGACACCGCCACGCATCCGCACACCGCGCTGCCTCAGACCGGCACGCAGCCCCGGCCCTCGTCCTCCTGAGGCGGTGTGGGCCAGCGCAGTCTCCCGCGAGAAGAAAATCGAGCGCTAGAATGCTGGGCTGGCCGCGGGGAGGGGCGGGCCGGCCATCGCACGGGGCAGTGCCGCGGCACCATCGCGGTACGTGCTCTGCTCTGCCGGGGGCGCTTCGCCGCTTTCACAAGGGAACTTTTCAGCTGGAGGTTGCGCCTCCTCAGGGCTCTCCAGACACTGACTGCATTATCCTGACGTGTCCCGAGCTCAGAACACCAAGAAAATACGCTGTTAGGTCCTTCCTCAACCTCCACAACGCTTGTGCTTTCTCCATTTCCTCTTGTGAATGCCCAGTTAGATATGAAACATCTCTAGCTGAGAACTTCAAGCACCGCTAACTGTAGAAATGTCATTTGTGTTTGCAGGTAATCACACAATAGAAGCAGACGATCTGATTCACCTGCAAACAGCACTGGAAGTAAGCTGACTGATTCTGTCTGCAGACAGGAGCATGATGACTTAGCACAAAGAGAGCCACAGCTGGCTTGAGTCTCACATGGCACATCTGATTAAGAACGTGCCTGCTGGCGTGGCCAAACCACTACAGGCAGATGGGCTGGAAGCTGGAGCAGTAGGAACCACTCAGCTAAGGGGCCTTAATTCACAGGAGCTGCTTACAGAGTTATTTAATATAAAGCTAGTCTCCTCTACATTGCTCTTTATGTATGAATCTAGTTGACATATTCACAAATATAAGTGAATGATTGTTTCTATATATTTAAAACTGGAGCTGTCCAGATATTTTTCAGTGAGAAATTTGCTGAATTATTTTGAAATGGACAGCTTACTTTCAAATTACATTTTGTATTTGAATACTAATTAGCAAAGCATGTTGGTTCTGCTTTTAATACAATATATTTTAGTAACTTAGGCATAGGATTTACAGTACTCTGTACCTAATATATACCTTATATATCCACCTGTACTGTATACATAATATCTCTATACACTGTTGCCAACCATACCCTGGGTTGCATGAAGGTGATTGGCATGATCAGCAGGTCAAGGGAGGCAATTTTGCTCTCTACTCTGCTCTCTTGAACCCCCCCCCCAGCTGTGTCTAATTCTGGAGCCCAAGCACAAGAAGGGCACAGAGCCCTTGGAGCAGGTCCAGAGAAGACCCACAAAAACATTTGGAGGGCTGGAGCAGCTACCCTGTGAGCACAGGCTGAGAGAGTTGTGGTTCTTCAGTCTGAAGAAGAGAAGGCTTCTAGGGGAGCTTATAACAGCCTGAAGGGGGCCCTACAGAAAAGCTGCGGAGGGATTATTTTTAAGGGCACGTAGCAATAGGATGAGAGGAAATGACTTTAAACTGAAGGAGGGTAGATTTAGAGTACATATTAGGAAAAAATTATGTACTGTGAGGATGGTGAGACACTGGAACAGGTTGCCCAGTGAGATTGTGGGTGCCTCTTCCCTGGAGGCATTCAAAACCAGGCTGGATGGGGCTTTGAGCATCCTAATCTAGTAGGAGGTGTGCCTCCCTCTGTAGCAGGGGGTGTTGGAACTAGATGAGTTAAAGATTCCTTCCAACCCAAACAGTTCTATGATTTTATACCTGCCTCATCTTTTCTTTTGGGGAATCTTTTTCCAAAGTGAAACACATAGTAAACTACACATTTTGCTATATGCCCACATTCATTCCTTTAGCTGAAATTTTTACTGAGTTTCTGAATTCCTGTGCCCTAAATATGATTAATTCAGTAAAACATTCTTTGATCCATGTAAAAGATATGAAGTATTTATTGTAAAGCACTTTTAAATCATTAGAGCTTAGTGAAGATCAGTGCTGTTAATGTGGAATACTAGGGCTTCCCTTTACTAGTTCCCAGAGACAGTTCAGCTTTCTTATGTTGTCCAACCAGCACACTACAATTTAAGCCAAAAGGATGAAACTTGGATTTGGAGTACTGGAATAAAATTCAAACACAAGCATATTTGGCCTTATGGTAAAAACTATGGGCAAAAGTAACGCCAGATGTGCCAGAGCTTTCAGTGACGTGAGCAACTATCCATGAAGAATGGCCCTGAAATCTTCTAGTATTGCAAATATGTTTCTAAATTGCTATTGAGTGGTAAGAGGATCTGGATGAAAATGATGTTAGTAAATAAACATGAGTTAAACAGAAAATATTTTGATTCATTAAAAAAAATTACCAGTTTTCTGATATTGTTTCTACGTTTTAGATTCTTCAACAACAGCTGGAATCATTTCAGACATTTCAGAAACAGACTCTGGAGAATGCTAATAGGGTAAAAAAAACTACACAAATGATCTTAAGTGTAAATGCCAACTCCTGCATTTTTAGATATTGCCATAAGTATTTTAGGTTATTATGTACATTAAATATACATTAAAACTAGAAAACTATTAAACTGTTAAAAATAATAAACTATTAAAAGTTGAAGGACTAGCTCTAACTTGCACTACTATAACCTCAAGGGAACTGTTGTTTTCAAATAAGTTTCAATTCCACATAATGTTAGTCATTAGATATCAGAACCAGCTCCAATGCTGCAAACTGCCATTTCTTGCAGAATGCTAGACCACCTTTTGAGGAGCATTTTCTGCCATCACAGAATCACAGAATTGTAGGGGTTGGAAGGGACCTCCAGAGATCATTGAGTCCAACCCCCCATCATTTTGTCTGATTCATTATATAAAAGCTAAAGACCTGATGCAGAAAGGATGTTTAGCATTATGCTTTGCTTGTTATGCACAGTTCCCTGTTCCTACACTTCATTTCCATTCAGTCTGTCCTTTGCAGGACATAACTTCCTGATTAAAAATGTGTTTTGGAAAGTGAAATACTTACAAATTTAAGTTTCCTATAAACAATCTTTTTCAGGTACAGTCTGAAATCAGTGACATACTAAATAAAAATATATTTGAAATGAAAACCCCAGTACATACGTCAGCCAAGATTATGATGACTGCACACATCACTTTTACAGCAAATAATGCATCACTGGTATGTTAACAGTTTTTACTTACAAACACATTATTCTGTAGATGGATTTTGGCTTTAATCTTTTTTTTTTTTTCTTTTTTTTTTTAATAACCCAATGGGTATTCTGAGTACAAAAAATAACAAGTGTTTTCTTCCTGAGAAGTCATAAATATGTATACTGTTCCCTTCCACTCACTTTAAGTTCCATTTCTTTTTTGCACAGACAACATAGTAGCTTGATCTTCATTTGGGTTATTTTCACTGGATATGGAATGCAATGCAAAGCATATAGTAAAACAGGACATAGCCAAGGAGGGGACAGAAATGAAGAAAGGGAATAAAACTTACTTTTTCTGCATCTATTTAGTGCGACTCCAGTTTGTCTTTAATTTGTGCTGACTAGGATGACAAAACCAAAGACAAACTATAGTCTCCTTAGTTCGTCTCTCCTTTGCTTGAAATATAATCAATTTAAGACATCAGTATGTTCTGCTTGCTCCAAAACCCAATACTGAATTAAATGAGGCTGATTAAAATTGTAAGATTCTAATAGCTAAATGATCTTGGCAGAGAAAATTTGTGCAAGTCTTGACTGAGAAGTGGCTTTTTTAGCAGCTCAGATGTCTTATGTTTAAATTACTACATTTCATTATTCTTACAGTATGATTTTTTTTTTTTTGGACATTTGTTTTTAATTTTGTGAGGTAGCATATGGAATATCCTGAATTGTTGTCTTCTCAAAGAGAAGTTCACCATGACCAACAATCCGGTTCTGAAGAGCACGTGGAAGTAAACTGCAGTGCTAAAAATGTGGTCAGTGATATACAAATTTCACATAGAATTTCACTGAAAACTGAAAAGGTTGAAGATTCAGAAAATCTAATTGGAAACAAAAGGATACTTAAATTAAACAATGAGTTTACACGTGGACATTTGGTATCTGGAACTGATTCAGAGACAGAAAGATCAGATGCTGCCCAGGAGAAGGTAATTTTTAGTAAATCTAAGCTTCCTATGAATTTACCTGAACACAGGAAAGAAATTTGTAAAATAGATGATAATTATGCTACCAAGTTGCTGAAACAAGAGTTTTGGAAGTCAGCCAGTACTAATTCAGACTTGTTAGGACAAAATACAGAAAAATCTGTCTTTTTATACAGAGAAAAATTAAGTAACTTGAAAGACATTGCAGAAATTGTGACTTCTTTGGATGAATCACATACTGCTTCAGCTCTACTTAATGAAAATTGCCTACATTTTGATTAAAAAAAAATTTATAAAGATTCTGAGTATGGCAGTATAACCCCTCCTACAACAGCATGCAATGAAAAAGCAGAATCTGAAAGCAGAAATGTACTTGAATTTAAAAGCAGTTGTAGTGAAGATAACAGATGCCAGGTAGATTCATTTTCCAAAATGGTGAAAGATAAGCTACTAACGCTTGATCACAAACAGCAACTAGAAAAAGAATGACTGTCTGTTTTTAACCAGATGCTGCTGAGGCTAGGAGATCAGAAGTTCAGTAAAAACAAAGCATCCCCTGAATATGATGGAGAAATTGAAGCATTGCTTAAGCCTCTGAAAAACTCTGAGCATCTGCAAAAAAGAGTACATTATCTTGAGAATGAAAATCTACATCTCATGAACAAGGTCAAACCTCTTGCTGATTCTGTACAGTCTTTGAAAGAAAAAATATCAAAATATGATGTGAAAATTAAGGACTTCACTAAAGAAGAGAGAAGTATGCAAACTCAGTTGGTTAAATCACCAGAAGGCAATAAGGGATGCGTTAAGGAAATAAAGAGTCTGATAAGAAAATATAAAGAACTCCAGAACCAGAAAATCATCCTTGAAAAGAAAAAGAATGAACACTACAATAGAAACAAAGACACAACACAGGCACTACATGATTTTCAGATTAGGAACAAGAAATTAGAAGAAAAGATGACTGTTGGTACTTGCAAAAAATGGAGGCTCAATGCAATGCTAGAGTCCTTGAAACACAAATGCTCCAATTCACAAGAAACAAATAAAAAACTTGCTCAGCTTACAGAAGAAAAGAGCTCCCTAGAGCAAGAGCTTGAAGGAAAGCAGAGTGAAATAAAACAAATGAAAGAAAAAGAAACTGCAACAAAATCTGAACTGGAGACTCATCTTCAATTAATGCAAACATTTGCAGAGAAAAAACTTAATCTTGAAATGACTCTGCAGGAATGTTCTAATACTAAACAAATGCTGCTGAAGGACACTGAGGAAGTCCAGACAGGTGAAGTGCATACAGAAAAGAAACTCATGACTGAACCCAGAAATGCAAAAGCAGACACTGATCTTTTAAAATATAACTTGACCGCTGCAAACACAGAATATAAGAGGTTATCAACAGTAGTAACAAACATCACAGAGGAAAATCAGCTACTGAAGAGAGAACTGAATGAATACAGACAATACGCTTCCAAGTATGAAAATGACATTAGAAAACTGTCTAAAGAATGCTTACTATTAGAAAATCAACTGTGGACTATTGAAAATGAGAGAGATGTAGCACAGCTTGAATTCCACCGTTTGCATAAGGATTATGTTTATCTCCGAGGCCAAGCTACAGCTTTAGCACGGGCACAAAAGAAACCCAATCTCAGTTCTGGCACCACGAAGAATAACTGTTATTCTGAACATTCCACTACAACTTGTAAAGAAATTCCTTTGGATTGCCTTTCACAAGGTATGACTTTCAATTCATAATACCTTACTACCTTTTATCTTTTTTAGTCATTTACAGTCTTTTCACTATTTTTTTTGGTAATGTACTCAAACTGTCTGCTTTTATTGATACTTTGCTACATTTTACAGATTAAGAAGAACAGATCCTTATACAACATTAGTATATAGAAATGTGATGAAACTATGACAGTTGACAGGAGATTGAATTCTGTCCCAAAGATTTCAGACTCAGAAAGGAATCTTAGCAACCTTTTAGCTAAGCAGTTTAGTACATGCCACATTTCACAGGTTATTTTACAAGAAGTCCTAAATAAAATGTAACCCGCATTAACCTGTCCTTCAGATGACTTCTAATGCTGATTTATGTGTAATTAGTACAAACTACTTTTACCTTTTTACTGTTTTTCTAACTTAGAAAGCTTATTAACTGAAACACGAATTTCAACATTTTCAGTGTAAACATGTTCTGAGAACAGCCATATTACAAAAAGCACAAAAATTAACATCTGCTAATTACTGTACAAAGACTAATTTTCTCAGCCACAGGACCATAGGGAAGAAGAATTTTTCAAAAACACTGCATATAATATTTATGAAATTGTCTGTACGTAGTGTTTCTACCATGCTATTTCCCTTTATTCTGCTACATTTTTTTTTTAGTACTTACTAAATAAATCTGTTAAAGTAAAGCCATGCAATTAATTATTGGTGTTTCCAGAACAGACTCAGAGGTAATTACTTATCTTCTAGTTCCTCCTAATGCAACCACTGGTATACAAGTCCCTAGCCAGTAAAAGGCACAATATGTTTAGAGATTGTTACTGCATAAAAGTAATCTATTTCTTCCTATTTCTTCAATAATTCATTAAACAGATTGTAACAAAGAAACAGTTATTTGTCTGGCTTTAACACAGCACGCTAAATGTAGAGTGCATTTTTGTACCAGTACAGATACAAATTAGAACAACTGAAAGGAACATTAAAAATCTTCGTCAACCTCTTAATAGTTTTTCCTCTAAAAACCTTTTAAAGTACAAAATATTTTGCTGCTTTGATTTTTTGGTTTTTACTGGAGATAGGCAAAAATTATATGCTATAATTTTGCATTGTGTGCTCAGACTCAGTAACAGCAATCAAATGGTTAATACTTGGGTTGCTTGGTAGATGGATGGTCAGGCATTTAATTGCATTTGACACAAAGTTGTGTGAGATTGTAAATATTAAGTTGTGCTCAGAATCTGTTACAAAGGTAACTGGCTATATTTTTTATATAAGGGAAGTTGTTACATGAAAATAATATAGTATCTAATGTCTTTCCTGTTTGAAATTTAAGAAAGTTCTAACCTCCACCATCATGGTAAAATGCACTGTCGAGAAGCCAGGGACACATTTATTGTTTGTATTAAACAGTATGCTGAGGCCCTACCCAGAAATGGGCATCAGCTTTCTCAGAGCACACTGTTTCTAATGGGGACTTATCAGGGGAAGCAATCGCTTCCCATAATGGCCACATAAACTTAGTCTACATTCATTAAAAAATTCTTAAACAAGCTAGGTTTTTTGTTGTTGCTGTTGTGTTTGGGTTCTTTTTGTTGTTATTCTGGTTTTTTGTTTTGCTTTGTTTTAGTAAAGTGCCATATTTTAATTTTTAATTTTAATCTCCCTTCCCCATTTTGCTAGGGAATGAAAAGATAACTAAAATACAGAAGAAAATACGACAGGAAGAACTGAAGAGGTGGAAGGAAGAGCAAGGAAAAGAAAATAAAAACTTCAGAGCAGTCTTCATCAGCTGCACTACATCAGAACAGCAGTTAGAAGTACCATGTAGTCCAATCTGTCTAGGAGGGCTAAATCTGCAGAGTTCATAAGTGAACATAATATATTGTCCTGATAACCTGTACAAAGACACCTAACACCAGTATCAATATCATTATCTTATACAGCATGTTTAAAAAAAAAAAAAAAAAAGGAATTCTGTTACAGGTCTTTGGATAAAGAAAACATCAAAATTATTGTACAGATTACAGTACAGTATTTTAAAATATTGTGCCCTCTTGATCTAAAAGCATGGGGTTTTATGCCTTAATAAATGCTGGAAGACCTGGTCAACAACTCTTTATTTTTGTTTTCTTCAATGTTAGGAAATGTGAGACCTAGTCTAGAATTCACAAGCCTAGAATTAATAAGGAAAAAAAAAAAAGAAACAAAAAACCACCCTATCTTGAGGACAGCAGTAAGTATCCTTAAAGAATAAAGATCTACACATCTTCAAGAAATAGCTTAGAAATATAAATGCTGAGGGGTGTTTACATGAACAAATTTCTTGGAACACATATAATAAAACCTTATAAAAGTTAGGATCCGAGTTTCATCCTAGAAGAAGGTAGTTTGAAAGATTACGTTTGTTAAGATACTTGCATGAACAGAGAGGTAACAGAGCTTCTCTTGAGAACATAGCAGCAGTTAGAGTTTTCAGGAAACAGAGGATGAGTGTTAAACAGATGATGAGTGTTAATGAGTGAGAGATGATAATTAGAGATAACTACCTTTATAACAGGCTGACAATGGTCATTTTGAGAATATCATAACTGAAAGTCTTCAAGACAGTTCTTACACAAAATACTGTTGAAATAAACTATAAATTGTAATACTGCTAAAGGGAAACAATTATCTTAGTTTCACTGTGAGCAGACTTATTTGGCTAACATATACACTGGCAGTCTTTGAAAGATGTGCATTTTTTTCCACTGCAATACTTTGTGAATTTGAACCTAAGTTACTCAATAGGAAGTACGTTCTGTTAAAGTGCATTTCAGTACTCAAGTGAAGCAGTAAGATTAAAAATATTCACCCAGGGACCTACAGAATACATTGTATTACCTATTGTAGCTTTACAACCATGTATGTATGTATATGTCTGTGTGTGTACGTATAAAAAACAAACACAGATATTACATTCTCAATAATTAAACCAGATTGCCTTATGTACTTGAATGCCACTTTTCACATTTTTATTTATGCTGAATGCTGATTAGCAACTGTATTGTTAAGAGTCTTAAAAATGTATCCTTCATTTCAACATTTTTACCTAATAAGATGCAGCATATGCAGTCTTGTAGTTCTTTACATTTATTGATCTGAAATGTAAATGAAGAGAAACTTATTAAATTTTGTTTTAGAATATCACTCTTCAGAATAGGAAAGTTTTAGTGAAAATGAAAAACTGTTACACCCATTCCTGTAATTAGATTTAGTGGCTAATCCATGAGGATCCAAATGATTTATACAGAACTCTGTGTCAGAGCAAGAATTTGTGCTCACAAATCCAATTTAGAATCACAGTCAAAATACCAGAAGATTTCCACTGGAAAGTACATAAAAATTGTAATCCAGTGGGGAAAAGCTGACAATTTGAAATGTATCTCACCACATATGAGCTATAACATTCATACTTCTAATAAATGCTGTTCAAAATTCTCATCCCACTAAACCTAGGAATAAGAAAGCAAAAATCAATACATCCTTTAAAATTGTTAGGAGAGAAACGGTAGCAGACAATTTGAAGAAGTGGTTTGAATTTCTGGCTGTGGAACTTTCAGATGTGATTTTTTTCTCTCTACAGATATTTGTAATGAGTCCATCATAACCATTTCTGTGAGCACATGGTGATACTCCACTGTATAATCAATCAATGTAAAGATGTTATCATTACAAAAGAAACAAGAGAGTTAGGCAGAGCAGATTATAATAACAAAACGAGAATAGAGAAAGCTTACCCGTATCCTGGGCTCGCTTACAAAACTCCAGCAGAATGGATCTCCAGAAGAGATCCTTCCCCACTGGCAGTCAGCTCTTCAATGGGTCTAGGAGAGGAGGAGCCTGGCTCCACCCTTCCAGCAGCACAGGTGAATTGCCTTCAGCTGTGCTCCCAGGGCTGACTCATGGCTCGCCTCAGGTGATCAATCAGAGGTTCAGGCCATGACTCAGCAGTTCCCATTCACTCCACAATCACCCATTGCTTCTCAATTTAAAACTTGTTTCATGTGGAGTAATAGGTAGCTTCTGGTTTGGCTCTGTCAGTGCAAATTGAAACTTTCAATGATTCCTACAGTTTAAAAGTGATTAAGCAAACTCAGGTACGTAGTGAAGTAAATACAACAGTCATGTGGATTAAAAAGATGCGTTTCTTGAACTTCACATATGGTACATAACAGACAATCACAAATGTGAAAAATTCTAAGACTGATTTCCAAATTTTAATCAGATATTTCTAAAATATTTCATGTTGCTCACAGAGTATGCAAAAAAATCATACATCTATGTAGAGCTGTTCTGTGTGCAATCTTAAAAATCCCATTTGAAACTGAAGCTTTAAATAACTAAAGAACATGGTCATCTGCTTGAGTTACAATAAGGCCAAACAGAAAGTTATTTAAAAATAACTGTTTGAAAAAACTTCACCCAAATTTACAGAAGTATGGAAAAAAATTTTGAAAACAAGCTTCCTTATATATTTCTTATGCTTTTGTTAACAATTCCTTCAATTATTCTGTTAGTAAGCAACCATCTAACGAATGCTGGTAGACAGCATGCATGAAATATGAACTTAAAGTGGCTTACCTTAAGACATTTTGAGTGATTATACTTGTAACAGGTCTGCTTTTCGGTCCAGGAGGAGGATGAAAAACCTTTTGTTCTTTACTGGATGAGGCAGCCATAGTTTTTTTGGTTACATAAGGGTCAGCAGAATGGCTTGGATAAGGATCAAATGTGCCACCTTTCATGCCCCCTGACTGAAGAAAAAAAAAAAAAAAAAAAAAAAAAACTTTCAAAGTGCCAATCTGTAGAATAGTAGGATTTTATTACAATTTTTTCATGCAAAAGCAGAGAATACTGAATAGCAGACTGCATTGTATTCTATTTAAAAAAACAACTACCCAAAATTCCTTAAACTTCCATTGGAAACCTTAGGGAAAATTTTAGTGATTAATTAGATGGTTTAAAATATTCTTTGTAAGTCTGGATATTGAGTGAAGGATTTTAAAAACATAGAAAACATAGAAAAACATAGAAAATGTAAAACCATAACTCACTGAAATGACCTATGATGTGGTTAGAAAAAAAAAAAAGAGAAATCCTATGTTACTATTAGTTCACCAGTAAACCTCCATATTCAGTGCAGGTATAGAAATACAACACAGGCTTTTCCTGTAACAGTAAGTTCACCAGAACTATAACAATGGCAATTTCTAGTTAAAAAGCATGCAGAAACCTTATTAATTCTTTGCAAGCCTCTGGAACAGCTAATCTCCACAGTCTGTTGAGACTGCTTTCCTTAAAATGCAACAGTAAGCAATTCAATCAGCAATAAAGAAAATTTCCCTTTGAGGATTTGTATAGAAAAGAGGGAGTTTGAGAAGTACACCGTTCATATCTCGAATGGCAGCATGTAGTGTTGAAAGCCAGGAACAGGGTCACCAGCATCGTCAGTGAGAAGAAGTACAGCTATTTCAGCAGCTGTCTTTTCAGAACACTAAAGGATCTCAGCTGCTTCATCTGTGAGACTGAACACCCAGCATAATTCTTCATGTGTAAGCATTCTTGCAGTCCTTTTCAGAACATTTTCACTGCTATCATCTTATTCCTCAGATGAATTAGTATTGGTCAAATAAGTCAATGATGAAGGACAGAATAATCATAACATTAGCAGAACATTATATTAAGTGGCTGACAGTGGAACACCAAAATGTAGAAGTGACAAATTAAGAGGTATTACTGTACTATGTATTTGGAGTCAGTTGAGAGAAACATTTATGCATCAAATGCATCAATATTTTAAGAACATTTCAAACTAAAAATAAGATTTAGCCTAAGGTGAATTCCATAAACTTAATATCTAATCTCAGAAAAAACAATATATTAAAAGAAATGTTTTATGGAATGCAAAAATATCCATCTGGATTTTAAGAAGTAACATTAAAGCAACTGAAACAAATGAATTATGTTCCTTGACATTAGCACCGAGCTTCATTTCTTAGGTCCCCTGAGTGCTTCCCCCATGTATTTATTCCCATCCACCTCCTCCTTCTTTCCTAAATACTGAAGAATTAGAAAATTCTAAAGCTGACTCCAGATTTGTGTATGCTACTAACTCCCAAGATAACTCCTACAGCCTTTTGCTGAGCAGGAGCCTTAATCTGCAATTTTCTGCTCCTTCCAGCTCTCCATTCCCTTGACACTGCTAAAAATTTTGTTTTAGATACCTATACAGGTTCAAAAATGCCATGAGAGATTGACAGAGTCCAAAATAAAAAAAGCATTTTGTTTTGCTACTGTAATTCTTTCTTGCTGTCATTTATTGCAAAACATTCATTCCACTTTGTGCATATTTCATGGACTATCCAGCCAATTAACTGTATGTTAACAGCACTACACAAATTTTAAAGATTTTTTAGGTTACTTGAAACTGCTCAGGGAGCATTGGCTCCAACAAAATAAACTGCACAATGTCTTTTCTATTTTTAACAGTACAAAACATTGGTTTCTACCTTATGTACTGTAAGCAAAGTTATATATATATATAAATATTTATCCAGTTTATATTGTTTCCAGTAGCTTTAAGATAAACTAACCTTCTTAGCAGGGGAGCTTGGTTTGAAAGGTGGTGCAATTCGCTTCTCTGGAGGTGGTTTCTTCACAGGTGGCAAAGGTTTGTCGTTAAAATAGGGATTCATGTCAAAATACTCCAGGGGGTACATATTTGTCTTGAAAGGCCCTCCTTTAGCCAAACGCTTGTGTTCCTCTCGTGCTTTCTGTAAAACAAATAAATTCAGAGGCAGAATCTTGAGCTTTTCAACTTCGTTTCATTCTCCTAGCCAAAACATTGAAAACATTCAAATTCATTCTTGAAAAAACATTCGCTCAGTCTTCTTTGTTCGTTTACTCAGGGTATTTAATAGCCTCCAAGTTTAATGGTTAGACTCTGAGTTTTCTAATCTTATTCTGACCATAGACAAATTTAGTGATTTCTCACTACATATAATGAAAATATATAAGAAAACTAAATTCAGAAATTCAGTACAAGGAAAGATGTGAGCTTTCCTCAAATTATGAGCTTGTAGGATAAGAATAAACTCTTTTTTGTTTCAGTTTGTCTTGTGTTTTTTTTTTGTAGGGCATCTAGCATAATACAATCTCATTTCTGACAATGATACAGAAGAATTATTATTGTTCTTGCTATTCACATTGTTTGGTAATTACTGCAATTGTTGCTTAAATGCTCCACATAAAAAAAAAAAAATTAAGGTCAAATCTTGATTGCTGGAACTTGTATGGGATACTTTTGCTTGTCTTAAAAAAATAAAATAACAATAAGTAAATCTTCATTTTTACATATAGTGATTTGTCTTCCTCCCTCCACCATCCAATAAACGAATATTGTGATCCTGAGCTGAAGGAAACACCATAGTGAACAAGAAGTTCATGAAAATTCTAATAAATAATCATGATTATTACATAATAAAGATTTTATCTTTTTTACCTTTGCAATTATTTTTTCTAATTCATAGCCATCCGCTTCATGTGGATATTGCTCACCTATAGTAAGATTTGCATAACTGTAAAAAGAGAATGCACTGGTTAGATGATCAAAACTCAAAAAGCATTCAATAAAGGACTGCAAGAAGTAATGCTGTGAAGTTACCCATATCCAGTTCCTTTTTTTCCTGGACTAGTATAAAGATTCTTTCCAGGAGGAATGTATCTTTCTCTGGCTTTCAGTTGTGCACTGAAGTATGCAAACGGACCTCCTATGGTTCCATAATAGCTACCTAGTCCACATCTAAAAAGAGCAAATTAACACATTAATTGGATCTTTGTAAATATTTCAGGCTTTCCATATTTATTGTGCTAAAATGTTAGCCTGTAGAAAACCCAAACAAGTATCATCTCAAGAGGTAAGGATCAATCCATACCAGATCCACTGTGCATGGAACTACAATTATAGGAATTCCATGTACAGTATGGACATGGACACAAAAGAAACAAGATGGAAGTGGAGATGAAGTTCTGAGGACTCTTGTTATAAATAGGCTTAACAGAGGTGGTTTCAATTTTGCACCAGCAAGGTAAAGTAATATTAGTACAGACCGATTCACAAACAGATATACAGAGAAATAGGCTAAACACAACACTTACGGCAATTTATCTCCATTACTGGGAAGGAAAGCTTTGCCCAAATTTTTCTTTGATTCTGCCAATCTATAACGTCTCCTTAGTTGAACAGGATTTGAGTAGGCTTCACCGCTGAAAATCCTCTTAAACTGAGGGTCAAAATAACCTGCCTGAAGAGCTGACAATGTTTTGCTCCCCTCAGATAGCATCTGTCTGTTCTTGCTTGCAGCTTCATTAAAAGGGCCTTTAAAAAAGTAAGAATAATTAAAAAAAAAACACTCAAAGTTAGTGCTTCTCTTAGACTGCATTAAAAAAACTAAGGATCCAAATGGCTGGGTGGCACAAAGAATGTCCTGCAGAGCATTTCACTTGTAAATCAAACATGTATATTTTATGATTTATATCATATAATATACATTGTGTGTAAAAGACTATGATATTGTAAAGACTATAATACTATGAGAAGGTATCCACAGCACACAGTTTTCACATTCCACTGCCTACATTTGCTTTAGAGGCAATAGAGAGCGATCAGTTACTCCAGACTACAATTCAGAGCTAGACCTGACGCCTACTTATATACTATGAGTAATGCATGAGGGGAGCATCTGCTTCACCCTCCAATTACAGACCAGGTCGACCAGCTTCAATGTCCCTCAGTGGATTTTAGCACCCAGCAGCTTATTGTGGTGGAAGCAATGAGCTAGTGAGCCAGGGTTCTGACAGACACACTTGCCTCTGACAGAACATCACAGCAAACACATCTGTACTCTGAGGATCATTTGCATTTTTCACTTCCAGGTAACTACTGAGGGTCAGCTTTGCCATATCTTACCTACTACAATAATTTACTTATGTGTTCTTTCAGCAGGCTTTCTCTTTCTGAGAATTACATTATCATTATTTTTAATTTAGAGTTGTAATTTATGTTTAGAGTTGTTTGGTTTTTTTTCTGTTCTGTTCTCACTCCTGTACATGAGATTCCCCAAAAAGATAAGAAAAGGAGAATGTTTTCAAAAAAAAGGCAGGACACACATAACACTATTATTTTACACAAGCACAGGAAAATACAACCTACAAGTAAATTTTATTAAAAATAAACTTATACATTAATTTTGTAGTGATTCTATTATGCATACTTATTTTACTGGGTTTTTTGTTTCTTTGATATATATGTGCCATCATGCCAAGCATTTGTATCTAAGCAAAGATTATGTATGAAAAAACAATTGCCTCTGATAAAATGAAATAATAGAAAATAACGATCCTGAAAAAAAGATGGATACTAAAAGGAGTTCGTGTTTTTACATGGTGATTAAAATTAAATATACTTACGCATATAATGTGATACATATTTATCTCCAATGGTAATATAGCTCATTTCACTGAAGAGGCCAATCCTCTCCATATCACTTTTTCCTTCTACAGGCATGGCTGGGTGATAGTGTACCGCTCTAGAAGGTAGAATTATCTCTGTTTGTGTGTTTTACTATAACTCCATAAACAGTCAACCCCTATAAACAAGCAAACAAAGTTTTTTTTAAGTAAAATTCAAGGAGTTTCGATTTAAAATATTAGTATTAACATAATCTGAGGAAACTCATCTGCAACATGATTGACTGTTTTGGTGCTTAAAGGACAAACAGATAATGTGGAATTTGGACACCATTTTACTTTATTTCTAAAACAAATTCAGAACATGGGTGGAGAAAAAAAATAAGAGGCATTTTTAGTAGAACTGGTGCAACTCACTGAATTTACATGGGTTGGGTCAACATTTTCTAACAGTTATCTTCAAGTACTGGGATTAGTGGTAGCATTAACACATAGCAAGATGCCAGCAGCCTCCTTCAGCTTGGGGCTCTCTCTAGCAGTGGATTTCAATTAACAGTATAGAAGGAGGCCGCACGGACAAGTTAGAGAGAAAACACAGAAGTGCAATTTTGGAAGCCCTCTAACAGCAGCCCAATAGCTGGTTACTGTGAATATTTCCAATTTCTTCTTGATTTCAGAGCAAATCATTTATAGTGAATGTTCATTTTTCCTTAACGCCCCCTTCAATGAAGACCGACAGAAGGGAAACGTCTGGACAAGAAGTCTAAGGAATATAAGGACTCGAACAGAGAGCAGGATGGGCAGGAGACAGACAGAAACACAGCAGAATAAAACAAAGATCGTCGGCCGGAGGACCAGCGGGAAGGCTCGGTACCGCCACCACACGAACCGCAGCGCTACGCAAAGCTCAGGGTGCCCACGCTAAGCAAGCCCGGCCCAAAGCAAGTCCCACTCGCAGTGATGAGCGTCACCGTACCGCCGGGCCCCGCTGGGTACCGAGCGGCACCTACTCGCCGGAACCGGCGCCTCAGCGCCCCGAGCCGCCCCAAGCGGCCGGCGGTGTCCTCCGCCCGCCCTCTGTTGGTAGCGGTTGCCTGGGAACGGCAGGCAGCCCTGCGTCTGCCTCCGCCTCCGCGCCGCCCACCGCGATCGCGGCTAGCAACCGCTGTCCTCGCTTCCTGTCTAATAACAGGATGGTACTAACGCCATTAATCATGCACCAAAAGGCCTACCTTACTGAATTTAGGTGAGATTTGCTACTGCAATTGCACGTGATACAAGGGACCGGACCAGACAGCATTAAGAAGCTCCCACAGTCCCACATTCTCAAAACAATGTGGAATTAATGTAAGAAAGCCCATTTCAGGGCTTTCTAGAGCCACCTGTCATAGGGAGGAGTGCTGAAGGACTTCCAGTTGAAGGAAAGTGTCTGTAGCTCATTCAACATTTTAAAAGAACAGATCTTTACTAGAAATTGAATTTCGTATTTAATTCATTAATACAAAGTAAACAAAAAGCCAGACTTCACATCTTCAGGGGCTCTTCAGGCTTGACCATGATTTGCAACCCGAAAATCTACTAATTTTCCAGCTTGCTCAGGAAGGTGCTATACCTGACCCAGCAGCAGCTGATAGGAACAAGCTGCACTGAAAACAGGAGCACCCAGGTTCTGAGTATGGAGTGGAATTCAGTTAAACCTGCCTTGCCCACTACCCAGGAGCCACCTCAGAAGTTACATCTTATCTGTAGTATCAGTCAGAAGTATTCTTCAGGATAGACACACGTGGGCCCCGAAACTGGGTTTTCCAATTCAATCAAAAAATGTTTGCTTAGAAATTAACAGAGCACAGAAGGATTCCCGTGTGTAATAAGAAGTTCCATTCTAATTCACTTGCTAGTACAAGCAACTTCAGAACTTAACAAAGAAACTGCATAGAAGTGCAACAAAGCAACCAACAAGATTTCAGTTAAAAAAAAAAAAAAAAGTGTTATTGAAAAAAAAAAAAATGGCTTGAATTTGCAGCACAAGAGAGACCATTGATACCTGACCACAGCAAATGGAATACAAATCATTAGCGTATATCCTTTGGAAACTGAAAATATTAATAGATACTTTAGTTACATTTCAGCTAATTAACACATGCTACTGATGGTGTTCACCAGAGTGAGATTTTGCTGTAATATTACATGCATTCGCTACTTTTCTACATCAGTGAGAGATGATGACAGCACATTGATAAGAGCACGTGGATGAAGTGAGGTACACTCTATCCTGATACTGTAGTGTACTTTATAACCTATATGAAATATAACCTATATGAAAGCAAAGGCAAAGAGTAACATTATGAAACAGTGCAGGTAATCCTAGTATTCTTTTTTTTTTTTCTAGGAGATTGAAAAAATGAAGTATTTGTCCTCTTGGGCAGGTGCTTCACAGAACATCATGTGTATACAGGCAATTTTATACATTTTATAAACATGAATTACTAAGGGTATGGGAACTGTTGAGTCACAGCCTGAATCACTGACTGATCACCTGAGGCAAGGACTGGGTCAGCCATGGGAGCACAGGTGAAGGCGATTCAGCTGTGCTACAGAAGGGGTGCAGCCTGGTTCCTCTTTTAGACTCCATTTAAGGGCTGACTGCCACTGGGGAAGGACCTCTTCCTGGAGATCCCTCCTCTGTGAAGTTTTTTCTGTGTGAGCCTAGGTCTTTGGATATGAGCGAGCATTCCTTTCTTGTTTATCCCTTCTTCCATTCCACCGCGTTAATCTTCCCAATTGTAACGCTAAACAACAAATCAAGTTTTTCCTCCAGATAAGAAATACGGGTAGAGCATCAGAAGTAACACACGAGTAACCTGCAGTGCTGCAGCGCCCTCTGCAGCTGTTGGGGAAGCTCTGCAAGTGCACCTGCAACGCAGGGACCGTGGGCACGTTGCTTGCGAAGACCCGAAGGTCAACAATGGAAGCACTGCACGTTGAGACGCAGTAGAATTAGCATTTTTAGGGCACTGTTTCCCTTTCTGGAATCGTAGAAACACGATGCAATTATTTATTTATTTATTTTTAATTCTTCTGTCAGTATTACCTTCATTCTTATTTTGTTTAGATTTCCCTGGATCTGCAAAGGCAATTTTTTAAATGTTCATCAGATTTCACAGTGTGCTTTTGTCCTAGAAGCTTGATGCCAAATAGCAATGGTATGCTGTATCCCTACTAGAATGCAGCAGATTAAACAGCGTTTTCTCTTGTGTGCAGTGAAGGTAAGGGAACACGGCATGTTTAAAAAGGAAAAGTAAGCTTTGGAAGATCTACTTTTTTGCTCTCAGCCGAAGCTGCGAGAGGCTTTTGCACCACAAACGCTGCAGACACGGAGCGCAGCGGGTCACGAAGAGGGGAAGGGAGCCGGGCCGGAGCCCCCTGCAGACCAACAGGAGCGAAGAGCAGCTCGGGCAGCCGCTGAACAGAGGGAACCGCCCGCCCAGCGGGAACGGCAGCAGGCGCGGAAGCCCTCCCCTTGTCCGGTTAACCGTCCGAAGCAGCTCCAGCGATTTCATCGGCTTTCCCTCAGGGCCGCCGTTCCAGAGCCGGCCGGCGGGGACAAACGTCAGTCCCCGGCCGAGAGCAGAGGCCAGCGGCCGGCCCACCCCTTCCGGCAACGGCTGCCCTGGCAACGGCTGCCGCTACACCTCGGCCGTGAGCGAGGCTGAGGGGCTGCTGAGGCGTCTGGCCATGGCCGAGCCTGGCGGGGAGCCTGAACAGAGCCCCCGGCTACCCCAGGGGGGCCCTGGGCGGCTGCCTTCTGAGCACTCTCAACCCGGAGGACAATCTTACCGGCCTCAGCAGTTAGAACCGGGAGCAGCTTCCAAGTACCAGGAGGTATGGCCTACATCTGATCAGCCAGGAGAGCTGGGAAAGCGTGGCAGTCAGTCACAGGCACCTTATTAGGACCTCTACCTGGACTGCTGGCCAGGCTCATACACCAGGACAAGTACATCATTCACTGACCCCAGTGCAATATTTTTGTCACTCACAGGGAGCAGAAGAAAGCTCTTACAAGCAACATGTGCCAGACATAAACTTCAGTCAGATACACACACTGGGACAAGACTCTCATCAGGCACAGGAGGTAAGCGTGTATCAGACATACCCGCTAGGAACTCAGGAACCAAGAGGTGCCTATCAGACATACGGCGGACGTGATCGCTACCAAGCCTATGAACGTGAGCACGGACCTTATTTACCACATGAACCAGGCTATGGACTATATCAGCCAGGCTACGGTCCATATGATGATCAAACACCAGATCCTGAACACCGAATGCTGGCATGTCAGAATGCAAAAGCCTATTTGCTGAAGAGCAGCATAACATCCGGCCTGAACTTGTAAGTCTGAAAAAGGAACAAAATTGAAAGGGGAAGGAAGTAGGAGTGGAAATAAAAGTAGTGTTTATGAAGGGGCAAAGGGATCTGTTAAGAAGGTAAGGGGTAGCAGAGACTATAGAACAGGCAAATACATTACTGTATACTCAATGAATATTAAGATGTTATAATTATGAAATAAACAAGAGAGTTCAACAAAGCAGACTATGATAACAGAAAGAGGATAAATAGAAGGCTTACCCCTATCCTGGGCTCACTCACAAAACACCAGCAGAGTGGATCTCCAGAAGAGATCCATCCCCACTGGTAGCCAGCTCTTAAATGGGTCTAGGAGAGGTGCAGCCTGGCTCCACCCCTTCCGGCAGCACAGGTGAATTGCCTTCACCTGTGTTCCTGTGCCTGACTCATTGCTCACCTCAGGTGATCAATCAGAGGTTCAGGCCATGACTCAGCAGTTCCCATACAATTACAAATGCAGTATCTCATCACTATGTTATATTTGTGTGTCCACCATCTTTCAGAAAAAAAAAAAATCCCAAGGGGAATAATAGAGTGCAAAGGGAAATTGATTAGAATGAGATTAGGTTTAAATTCTCCTGTAATTCCCGAGAAAGGTGTGGGATGAACAAAAAAATAGAAGACTGGACAATACAAACAGATTAGTTTCAAGTCTAATTTCCTGCAATGCTCCATTTTTTCTTTGATCTTTAGATGCTCATTCATTTTTTTTTTCTTTGAAGACCCAAGTGATTAGTTTCTACTTTTAATATTAAAAATGTAATATTCTAGGTCTTTTGTATAGTAGACCAATTTTATCTTCATTTATATGACAGATATGATCATCTTGTTAATGTGCTAACAAAAATCCTGGATGAACAGCCCACGGATCCAGTAGACATACTTGAGAACATTAGCAAGGATTTGAAGGCAGCTCAGTTTCAGAAAAAAATGGATACTCTTCGAGACGAACATGAGATTCTTCCATCATTTGAATCTGCAGAAATGCGCAGAAACTTGTTCCTCAAGTCAGATGGAGGAGATGAAGAACAAGAAGAAGAGCTAGTGAGTTCTTATTAGAAAAAAATAGACACCAAATATATTGGAGAGATGGGTGGCAGGATGGTGGGAAGGGAAAGGAAAAAGGGGGGATGTTATGGTCTCTCTCATAGTATTGCCTCTCATCATCACATGAAATAATTGCACCCTTGTCACAGTCAAGCTGGTCCTATGTTTAGCTGTGAAGAAAACACAACTGGTTACTTAGTTGGGAATTTTGTTCCTGTAGTAAGTCTAACATCCTGAGCTTTTAAAATCATAGATGTTCTAGAGATGATGAACAGAAGGGAAGTATCTCTCATGTGCCAATTCAAGCTGGAACATTCCATCCAAATTCTTTACTTAAACCTGACTTTTCTTTACCCAAGGTAACCATATTTCTGGGTTTATTCTAGTGCAGATTTAGAGTTTTGCACACAGCTTCTACTGTAAAATACAGAATGGAAAATTTGTGATTCTCCCAGCTTCAACTGTGGTTCCAGTCCTTCCTTCTCCAATTAGAAAAAAATATGTGGTTACAAGAAGAACAACTACCGATGTAAAAAATAAAAAAATAAAAAAATAAAAAAAAATAAAAAAAAGCCATTTCATTAAACAGGGAAATATTCAGTTTTCAGTTGCTTACATACAGATATATTTGCAGCCTAAATAAAACTAAGGGAAATCTTGTAATAACTAAGGGATGTTAAGATAACAAATGCAGGTTTTCATATGAAGTTATCACTACATACTAAAATGAATTGCCACCACAGAATACATATCCTAACAACTGAATATACATTTTTGCATCTTTACCATAGCCTCTTACTCATTTTACAGTAACAATATATCATATGCAATATGCAATAGTAAAAGAAAAAATGGAGAAAAGTGCAATGCTCCAGAAAGGAACTTTGAATTTTTCATACTCTTGTCTATCTTGCTTTGACCTAAAAAACCTGTAATAATGAGACAAATTCCATACGAAACCAGCATTACTTCCACTAAATTCCCTTCCCTGCTGTGAATAATTTACAATCCTTATCCACCTACTGCCATGAAATGAGAGACGGATGAAAAACCAAATGTAAATTCTTAATCTTTGTTATTGGCCTAGTTCTGCATCCCACAAGCCAGCCAGAGCATTACTGACTTCAGTAAGAGCAGGAGCCACTATTTCATACTAGTCTTAAGAAATTCCCTCTTAATAATACAGGGAGCTTTATGACAAGGTATTAAAAAGGGCAATGTTAATTTCAGATAAACAGCGTTGACCTGGTGTCTAAATATATAAAATACATTTTCTGTTCTCCCCAAATGCATCTTTCACAAACACGAAGAAAGACAGTAGTTTTGTTTCTGGTTGTCAAGGCCTCTTACATAGTTAACATGCATAAGCAATGAAGTCTTCTTGAAGATCCTTTGTGAGAATTCTAACTTTGCTTATTTTGCAATAGTTAATAGTGAGTTTGAAATTTGAGATCTTATATTCTAAAAGCTGTCCTTTTGTCTGCATTCTTTATCCTTATTGTGGCATTTTTAATTTTTCTAAACAATAGTGAAAGATGTAATAAATGAATGCCTGCAAAGCACTTTGAGAGAGTGGAGTATGACTTTCAGTGGATATTTTGTTCAGTCTTTCAAATAGATACTGCTATTATTCTTCATTCTAACTCATGATTTTGTTTACTAGGGAGGGACTCCTCTACCTAACATGATGGAAACAGCCTTTTATTTTGAACAGGGTGGAATTGGCTTGAGCAGAGATGAAACCTATCTCATATTTCTTGCCCTTAAAAAACTTGTTAGTGTTCAGCCAATCCAGACCTGTCGCTTCTGGGGCAGAATTCTGGGCCGGGAGAAGAACTATATTATAGCTGAAGTTCAGTACCGTGAGGGGGAAGAGGAGGAGGAAACAGAAGAGGAAGAGATTATTGACGAAGGAGACAAAAGAATGGATTTGGTCGAAGATGAAGATGAGGAAAAAGAAACAAGTGAACCACCAAAGTCTACCTATAAGCCCCCACCTGTCATTCCAAAAGAAGAAAATGGAACTGGGGCTAATAAATATGTCTACTTTGTTTGTAATGAGCCAGGCGAGCCCTGGGTGAAGTTGCCTCCAGTGACACCAGCACAGATTGTCTGTGCCAGGAAAATCAGGAAGTTTTTCACTGGTAGGCTTGATGCTCCCATTGTGAGCTTCCCTCCTTTCCCTGGAAATGAAGCCAATTACCTGCGTGCACAGATAGCTCGGATCTCAGCAGGAACTCATGTCAGTCCCCTTGGATATTACCGGTTTGCAGAGGAAGAAGGAGATGAAGATGAGGAAGGGGGAGGAGGAAGAAATGACTATGAAGAAAACCCTGATTTTGAACCTCTTTCTGCATTTGAAATGGTGGAGTCTCTGTCTACGTGGGTACACCATGTACCGAGTATTTTAAAGCAGGTATGTGCTCACAAATTTCACCTGACCTCAGATACCATTCACTCCGTAGTACTAGCTTCCTGTATTCTTGAGCTGCTGTTCACTCCAAACATAAGGACAATTTGGTATAAACACTTATGTCATGCAGTGGTGTTTCTTGGGCCTTCTGTGTTTTAAGGGTTCAACTGGAAAAGAGCATACAGGCCTGCACAAGAAGGATGGAGATAGGTAGGAATTTGCACACACATTTCAGGAACCTTTTTGGACTTGAGCTCAGGTGTAGAGGGAAAGGATGTTCTGTGCACCTTCTGTGCATCTTCACACCTCCTGACTGGGAAGAGATGGATAATGTCAGCATGACTGCAACCAGTAAGGCCAGCAACAAGTTAATATCCCTTCACAAAATGAATATTGAAACAAATGTGTGCTTTAAGATACAATCTCAGTAAGAACAGGATTTTTGTTTTCTTGCTGAAGTCCAGCATCTATCATCAGCATGGATTGTTAAAAGAATCAAATACAACAAAATAACAGAAAGCTCATGAGAGAAGTATGAGATTATTCTGAAATGGTAAGCAGGGATAAGTAATGAATGAGGGACAGAGAGACAACAGTCTGCCTACAATATCCCAGTTGTGGAATATATAGTCCTTCTTTTCTCCCCCACTCCCTCTTGTGTATGTGTGTCTGAACCACTTACTTAAGCTGGCTTATATTCTTTTGCTGATTGCTGCATGTATTTATGATTCTTCCTTGTTGATGACAGGGTCGCTGTGTTTGGTTTAACCCTTTACAAAAAACAGAGGAAGAAGAAGGTGAAGAGGAGGAGGAGGAGAAGGATGAGGCGCCAGATGAACTACAGCAAGAAATAGGACCTCCTCTTCTCACTCCACTCTCTGAAGATGAAGGTATTCTTCAGGGAGCACAAAGTTTTTGATAGCAAGTCCCTGGAAATGCTAGCATTTAGGTAGTAAACACTTGAAGTGACAGGCCTCTAGTGCTTTGTGGAATGATGTAATTTGCCATTATTCTTTTGCAGAATGAATCAAATGCAAAATTGTTACCAGTACCAGCATTAAAACTGTAATCTCTGGGTTTTCTAGCTAACAGTCTTGGTGAGAATAAAGAAAAAATTCCTCAGACATGTCAGGCTACTCCAAGCTCAAGACAGCTTACATATTAAATACATTCAGATATCTTTCTATCATCTTCATAGACAAAAAAGCAGGTGCACATGTAAATAAATATGTACACACATGTATAGATATATTAGTGAGAATTTATATTCTGTAGCATGTTAACTGCAGCAAATCATGGCAATATGCAAACCTGAATATTAGATTATAGCAGTAGCAAATTATTTTCCTACTCTCCATTCTTTGATCAGAGTAAAATACGAATTCAATTTATCCATCAGCATTAAACAATCTTTGACAAAAGAAACAGCAGTGAGTACTACTGCATTTCAGGAGCATGGTATTTTCTGTGTGTGGCTGCTGGCATCCATGAGATACCTTCTCATGCAAATGACCTGTCTGAATACAGGTGCCTCTATTAATTGTGACTTAGATCGTCTAATGTGCATCTTAATTTAATATTGCGTGGATTCTGTAACAGCCTTGTCGCTCAGTCTTAAATGCAGTGGCTCTTAAGCCAATTTATTCACAGATTGTGTGTTTGACTGTCTCCAGGAATTCAAAACATCCCTGCTTGGACAGCTTCACTTTCTCCAAAGCTGACCCCTCAATATGCTGTTGCAATCCTTCGGTCAAACCGATGGCCTGGAGCATATGCTTTTGCATGTGGCGCGTGAGTAGTCAGTTGACACAGTTATAACACAAATTCTACACGCTGAACACATACGTATCTATTGAAGTCAAATCTGGTTTACCATTAATTTACTGACTGAATTGTAACTAATCCTGAGACTGGAAAATACAGCTTAATAGCAACAGTGCGTGTTCAAAAGCAAAAACGAGGAATCACTGGAAATACTACCATAAAGCAAATGGGTGTAAATATCCAGTTAATATTTGGCTGCGGTCCTCAATTTAAAACTTGTGTTCCTGAGTTTGCAATGCTTTGATGCAAATCTTAAATCTGTAGTTCTTAGTTCCATTAGTTTCCACTATACACAGTGCAGTTAACTAAGAGTGGGAACTTTTAAATAGGCATTGGAGAACTTTTAACTGGAATTGGAGAAATGGACCTATGTTACTAAAGTGAAGTGAAAGTCACACTGCAAAATAGAGAAGTGACAGTATAGCATGCATTGTTTTAGCACTGGGAGATTTTAAAGTGGAAGGTATAGAATCACAGAATGATTTGGGTTGGAAGGGACCTCCAGAGATCACTAATTTCTAACCAACTTGCCATGGGCAGGGATACCTTCCACTAGACCAGGTGCCCAAAGCCCTATCCAACATGGCTTTGAACAGCTCTTAGCATGGAGCAGCCAGAGCCTCTCTGGGCAGCCTGTTCCAGTGCCTCACTGCCCTTAGAATGAAGAATTTCTTCCTTAAATCTAAGTCTACCCTGCTTCAGTTAAAAACTATTATTCCTGATTGTATTGTTAGATGTCCTTGTAAAAAGTCTCTGTCCATCTTTCTTATAAGCCCCCTTTAAGTACTGAAAGGCCACAGCAAAGTCTCCCTGGCACATTCTCCAATATGAACCACCAGCTCCCTCAGCCTTCCTCTGCAGATGTGTTCCAGCCCTCTCATCACTTTCATAAGTGTTGTCTGGACTTGCTCTAATAGGTCTGCATCTTTCAGAGCTGGATTAGTGAATTCATCAACGGTTGTTAGAGATGGCTTTTGGTAAACATACCTCTTATAGGGAACCTGCACCACAGCGACTGTGTGCACAGCAGAGTAAGGAAGCCTGTGAATTATCACAGCTGATGTTCTGCTGGGGAGAGTTTGTGTGATCTTTCACTTTTCTTTCTCAGGAAATTCGGCAATATCTACTTTGGCTGGGGGCACAAATACAGCCTGGGAAACCATACACCTGCACTGCCTCCACCTGTGCAGCCTGAGTACCCCGATGGGCCGGAGATCAGGGAGGCCGCAGACCCCACGGTGCAAGAGGAGCTGGCTTTCAAGGCAGCACAGGAACAAAAAGCTCTAGAAGGCATGGAAGGAGAGGAGGAAGAGGAGGAGGAAGAATTTGAGGAAGGTGACGAGGAGGAGGATGATTAAAATAGAGGGAGAAAAAATGCTTCAAAAATTCAAACGCTAGTTTAATAGGAGGACGATTAAAATACAGAGGAAAAAAAAACGTTTTAAAAGTTTAAACGTTAGTTTATTAGTGTAATAAAGCAACTGCAAAGTACTTGCTGTTGAACTTGAGTGGAACGTACTTCTTTTTCTGATCTCTGCTCACTCCTCACCGCTGCTCCTTCGGTCACAGAAGGACGTCCAGTCTATGGGTGAAACCACACAACTCAGCGCGCCTCACTGCGCCGCACAGCTCGAGGCCTGGGCCGGCACCATCGCCGCCGCTGAGCGCTCCACAGGCTGTGCCGCCATCCGCGCCTCGCCCCGCTTTCCCTTTCTCCCTTCCCGGGAGCTGTTGCCGAGTGGCCGCTCCGCCGAGGCGCCTGCGCAGCGCGGGCCAATAGGAAGCGGCCGCGGGAGCAGTTCAAATTCGGACAGCGGTTGCGGCACGGCCTCTTCAGTCTGCGGGGCGCGGGGGGAGCGCTGTGGGAGCGCTGTGGGAGCGGCGCGCGTCTTCTCGTGAGCGCAGCCTTTTGCCCGGCTATCGCAGGGATGGCGGAAGAGGGGGCCGTGACGGTCTGCGTGCGCGTACGGCCGCTCATCGCCAGGTGAGCGCCTGTCCGGGTAGCGGGCCTGAGGGGGGAGGCTGGCGGCGGCGGCGGCGGCACTGTGCGCGGCCCCGGGGGGTGGACTGGGCTTGGGGGGCCTGACGGGAGTGGCAGCCGCGGCGGGTGGGCAAAGCCGCAGCGTCACCTGTGCGGTTAACGGGGGCGTCCTTTCCTTTAGGGAAAGCGCTCTAGAAGACAAAGCGTCGCTCTACTGGAAAAGTGAGGGCAATGCCGTTTCGGAAGTGAATGGTACAAAAGTCTTCAGCTATGGTAAGAATGCGAAAGCAATTGTCATCCGGCGTTCCCTTATCCTCACGATGTATAGCAGGCGATTGACAAATCAAGAACACTATCTCAGAGTTCTACATTTAAGCAATTAAGGCATAGATATGTGATACATCAGTATGCATGTGTGTTCTTTTCTGAGAACTCATTAATACGTGCTAATGTCCTGCTGGGTGTGCGTGGTAGGGGGCTATGGTGGTCTTAGACTGATTACTTCCTCCTCATTTTCCATCATCATCTTCATCACGGTGACTTTTTGTTGGCCTCTTGTTGTTTTTCCCCGGGTTGGCAAATTTCCGTTGCTTGTTAGGTTGTAATGAGCAGCTCTGTTAGTACACTATAGCCCAAAACAATATATGGGAAATCTGAGGAAAAAGTCCTTGCACCTTGTGAATGTGAAGATAAAAGTAGTCTATTATGTCTCCAGTGCTTCTCCTGAAGCAGAATCATTAAAGGAAACAAGGTTGTCATTGAAGGAAACAATGAAGCAAAGCTGAAATGGAAAGTTTAAAACTAGTACGCATTGATTCCTTTTGCTAATTATATCAGTCCTTAAACTAATGTATTGATCCCTATTGCTAAACCAGCCTATATTATTATTTTATTTATTATTTGAAGTTAATTATATAATTAGCTTCAGTGCTTATATGTACCTTCATTAATCTGACTGGAATGTACGTTAACAGCAATCGCCTCAGCTTTTGCAGCACTGTAGTTCTCTAACTCCCAACTTCTCACAGTTATGAAAATGTACCTCTGAGGCACGCACAACTTTGTTGTAGGCTGGTCCAGGAATGCACTTTTAAAGCCAAATTCCTGATGAATTTTGCTTTCTGAATTGACTTGCACTAACCAAAACTAAGTGTTTTTGTAGCACATAAGCTGGATTCGTTTTGTATGACAGTACACAGGAAGATGAACTCAGTAGCATGCTGGCATTCCAGTCACAGAAAGGCAGCCCAGAACATGTGGGACAGCATGGGAATTAGAGCCCAGGAAATGCTTCACTTTTAGCATTTTCCAATGGATTCACTGCATTTGTTAGTGTTTATGTGGCCACTACAAACATTTTTTTCCCAAGCTAGAGGTTTAATAGGCATACCATTTGTTAGAGGTCTTGTAGCCTATCCTGTCTGGCTTACAATCTTGATAAAGTAGTCGTAACAGTTGTTAGGATTAAACAGAGTGTCTGTTTAACTGACATTTTTGGTTTCTTTGACTTCTCCATTGTCTGTTCATCATGCCTCTTTTGGTTCTGAGTTTAATGTTTTTTTTCTTCTTTAAAAGTCTGTCATAGCAGTGTTGTAACAACTACATTTGATGTTTGATTTGAAGTCAGCATTCCTGAGTAAGATGACAGCTTGTTTTTGACTTACAGTGCAGTACGCTAGCATGCTTTCTGTTTTCTTTTTGGTTTAAGATCGTGTCTTTCACTCTTGCGACAACACTCAGCAAGTATATGAAGATGTAGCTGTGCCAATTATACAATCAGCTGTGCAAGGTTACAATGGTAAGTCTTAAAATTGAACTTAACTCCTGTTTGTAATGTAACTTCTAAATAATCAACAAAATGTAACCATCTTCTTAGGCACAATCTTTGCCTATGGACAAACTGCCTCAGGGAAGACATACACAATGATGGGAAACAAAGATTCTTTGGGCATTATTCCTAAGGCAATTCAACACGTCTTCAAAATTATTTGCGAGGTGAGTGTCTGTGAAACTGAAATTACTGAAAGGCCCAGTAATATATCTGAATGTTATAGAGAAATGAGTTTTAGTATTAAGGAACTTATGAAGGAAACAAACTGTATTTGGGCTCTATGTTGCAGTTGTTTTGCTAAGCTTGCAGAGATGTGATTAGTTAAAAATAACATCGTAGCTGGAATCACGTCAGTAACAAAACAGTTCTCACTAAACTTGAATTACCAGCGTAGACGAGGTAATGTGGAACTTTGTTATTTATTCTGCTATTTTAAAACTTTCTCCAAAAAAGTTCTCCAAAAATTAGCAAAACTTGATTTTTTTAAAGCATGAAGAATATGAAAAAGAATTTACTTATTTCAGGTGTTCAAAAGAATCACAGGCAGATTGGCCAATTTTAATAGTTCCTAGTCTGTGAGTTTTGGTAGAACATGGGCTGGAACCATACTAGAAAGAATTCCCTAGGACTGTGCCATATAAACATAAGATGCTGAAGCCCTCTGTGCCGGGGAATGGAACAGCAGACTGATAAGAGAATGTCAGAAACAGTGTGCAAGAAACTGACTTCATATTATGAAACTGTTGCTTAAGTTTTCTTGATAATCTGAATCCACTAGAGATGGCTATCCTGAACACTGAACTTCAAGTGTGCAACTCTGTTGGTCCTTCTGAGAAAGAGCAGTAGCTTTGATATATCTGGCTTTTGTCCAACATTAGTGTAGTTATCATCTGTACAGACATGCGTGAAATCCAGCTGGATTGGTGTATTAAAAAGCATATCTTCAGATTAATGACTGTGTATTACGTCATCGCCTGTGTATTGGGAAGACTTCTGTGCAACTGATGCAGCACCCCAAGGGCCTAAATTCTGCAGTGTAATTAGGTATAAGGAGAAGGTATAAATTAGAACATCGTTTGCAGAATACTTCTGCCTTGAGGGTCTCAGGTTATTGATATCAGTTATGTGATATGTCATCTGTTCCTGTGAGGTGCAGAGTATTTTAGAATCAACAAAAATAGACTCTAAGCCAAGAAAACCTTCCATGGTGCTGTAATCCACTGTGCAGCCTTCATCCTAGTGTTCTTTACTGTGGAGGTAGCGAAAGAAGCAGCAGCAGCAAAGAAAATCCAAGTAATAAGAGAGTGACGTCAAGGTATGCAGAAAGAAGAGAGCATAAATGGGAGTGGATTTAATATGGGAAGGATAACTAACTGAGAGACTGATTGCCATGCTTCCTTAGAGCTGTGTGAAAACTTGCTTTTATAGCTTACTGAAGATGATACATTGTTAATGCAGCTTGGAAGAGATCTGTATTTGTAGATGCTTGTGTGGAAAGGATACAGTGGAAATAAGTTTGTGAAATGATATCTAAGTAGATAACTTTGAGTTTAGAATACTTGCATTAAAAGCTATTCATTCTGTAGGCTGATTTGATTTTTATTTTTTCTTCCTGTGATCATTAGATTCCAGATAGAGAATTCTTATTAAGAGTTTCCTACATGGAAATCTACAACGAGACCATCACAGATTTGCTTTGCAATATAAGGAAAAAGAAGCCTCTAGGAATTCGTGAAGATGTTAATGTAAGTAGATGCGATGTTAATCTGAGGGATTGTTATGTAGCATAGCACTTGTATTTGCATTGTACCGGGGGGGAAAAAAGCTTTCAGAGGCATCTAGTAAAAAAAAATTAATAATAATTAAAAAAAAATTTCCATATCAAACTGGTAATGGTCTTCAAAGTTAGCAGAAGGGCAGTTGATGTAATAGAATAACAACAGTGAAGCTGAGCTTCTTGTTACTGGCTTAGCTGAATACATGTTCATAAATGTAGACTTATTCTTTAAGCTTTACAAGAGAATATATTTTTATTTAATAAAAATAGTGAATACTTGAGAGTTGTCTGATTAGTGGAACTACTGAAATTATATTGATCCCCTATCTCATTGTTATAGAAGTCTTCAAAAAGATACACAGAATTGCTTTAATAGCATCGCTGTATGATCTACAAAATCAAAACACTTTTATTCTACTTGTAATCATTAGATAAAATCATAGAACATATTTGGGAAGATAAGCCATAGGAAAAAAATAAATTACATAAATGCCATCCTTTGTTTCTCTATGCTAAGCTTTGCAGCAAACAAACTGGATGTTTATTTATTTATTTGCTTATTTATTTTGATCACCTAAATTGACCAATGTTTTTGGAGTCTGGGGAGAATTCATTTTTATTAACTGTACAATTATGACCTTGTAACATTAAGGTAAATATTTTTCTGTACCTTTTCTTAGGGAATTTCCCTTACTAATTTAATTTTTAGGATGCTTTTTAGATATTTTTTTTCCTCCTTTTAAAGTAATAGTTCTAATGTAAGTCTAAATTTTCATTTCTTGCGTTCAAAGGAAAATTAAAGAAAAAAGTCATTCAAGTTGTTAACTTTTAAAAGTACAATAATAAGTCTTAGTTATGTGAATTTTAGAGTTCAGTAAATTATTTATTACTGGTTTCTTTTGTCGTTGTTGTCATTGTTTGTATTTTTTAAGAGAAATACATATGTCGAAGACCTGATTGAAGAGGTGGTTGTTTCTCCTGAACAAGTTATGGAATGGATCAGGAAAGGAGAAAGTAAGTTGTTTAGCCAAAGCAAGCCGATATTCTAGAAAAGCATTAAATGGCATAGAATCATGGATGTCTCTTCAAAATCTTATTCAGAAATCAGTTTTTTTTGAATATAAACAGAAGTATTTCAATATTG